ATTTCGGATTAGCTCGCGAACTACCTCATTTAGATCACGATCTAGATGATCTAAATTCGAGTTTATGTTCTTAAGCTCATATAATAAATGAGTTGAGTCGAGCTGAGCCGTGAAAGACTCTAATTTACCATGAGCTGAGCCGAGCGAGCTAGTTCAATTTGACACCCCTAGCATTCACATATCCCTTGATTGGTTGAAGTATCCACCAAAATTTTATTCCACATATATTATTAAGGTTTATGGAACTCTACTTTAGGCTTTTAGATTGCTTTCCCAAACTGCATTTTCAATAATGGCTTTGAGCTTATATACCAATCTTTTCGTCTCAGCAATATTCATCCTATGTAATCAATAATTTAGATAATGAATTTTGGTTCTTCGAATTTTCCAAATGGACAAAATTTTATTCTACTGATCTAATTATTTTATTAGCCACATAATTCTAGTATTATGTTTTCTGTAGATTTCCTTAAACAAATATGCATCATTTATATCTGTTTCTAGCCTCTATATTTGCTTATTATAAAACATGTGAAGGCAAAATTATCCTCCGGTTCGGAAGAGAACTACTCCACTAAACATTTGGGTATTGGTTATAAATAAATGAAAAATAAATGGATGAAAACGACTAAACAATGAGAAGGAGTATTCTACATATATTTGGTAGATACGTACAAGACGATTGAAAACAGCAAACATTCGTTTATACAAATAGCCCACAATTACCCATTCTTCTCTTTTCCTCCTTTGGTACTGTATGAGAAAGTTGACATTCAATTATTTATTCGTAGCTTTTTTCGATAGATTAATTGACCACTAAGAAAAACATTTTACTCTTAACTTACGTGAAAGTGAAGTTTCAAAATTTTACGATTCTGTATATAAATAGTAGCATATGTGGTTTAAGATGTTCGAACTTATGTTCATTTTATTGTGCGTCTTTTTTTTAATATTTTTATTCAACATTGTGGAATTTTTTTTTGATAATCTTTAAAAACCTCAAGATAAGTTTTGCAACAACAAAATGATAGTGGTTGTGAATTTAGATGAATTTTGTGCTTGTAGATTTAAAATTCTGATGAAATATACGAATGAGTTTCTGACTTTAAACCAGGCTTATTCGATTATCGGTGGTGTGCACTAAGTTATATATAGTCAGAAGGCAGAGTAAGCCATGATCTCGAAAGTAATGGAACCATATGCAGGTGAAATTTACAATTGTGGATAAAAGATCTTTATATATTACTTCTGACACACGAAAAGTTTGAACACAAAATCTCAAACCATTCGAAACAAAAGACATATAAAATATTGCTGAAAATTTAATTCGAGCTTTCCAAGCCAATAATTCCGCACTTTCATAGTTCTTCTCACATAGGAGAACCAAATGTTTCTAAATATAGTAGTATCATCATAAGAAATCTTATGTCCTCATGGTGAAAATTTTATCTTGTAGCTAGATTCATTTCAAAATTACACTGTAGTCTAGTCTGTGGATCAGTCTATCGTATGGAATTTGCGGAAGATCAATCATTTAAGAATTGGAAATGCTAGCTAATATCATCAAAAATACTAAACATATGCAATGAATATCGAAAAAGAACAAACAAAAAAAACTTAAGGACTTTCGAGGTTCCACGTCGAAACGATTTCATTGGACATTGATAAGATCTGCAGATTATAGTGGGCTAGCTCTGTCTTTGAGTTTCGACAGAGATTGTCTCCTTTTCACCAAAATGTCCTTGTCCCTCTCTCTATTTTCCATATTTTTTGTTCTCGTAATTTTTTTGAATACTTCAAAAGTAAATACCACCACCAATATATATTATAAATTTTAGACCAAACATATGCTAATTTCCAAGGTTATGTAACAAACCGAGTATTTTTACCATTTATAAGTCAACTAGTATTAAGGCCCGCGACATATTTTTAATATGCTATAAGATAAACAATACTACATCTTTTATTTTCACCCGTAATATTAAACATGAAATCTCCTAATATACTAAATCTCTTAATTTTATATTCCAGTCAGTTATGAAATTGATGGAAACTGTTTCCAAAAAAAAAAAAACAGCAATCAGCAAATTAAGAGAAAAGAAAAGGAGACATATAAATTATTCTGACGAACAGTTGAAGAGAGGTTAAATACAGTTGAAGAGAGGTTAAATTGATGGTTGGTAGAGGAGTGTGAGAGAAGGGAAACGTAGCGATGAGAGAGTTACAAAATATCACAAAAAAATAGAAATTTTCGACCTATGACGTCATTGGTATTCTTCAAATGTATATATTGAAAATTATATATTCTAAAAAAATAATAATATTATATTTACTATTAAGTTAATATTGTATAACGTTTGGCGAGTATAAATCTCTATGAGAAATAAAACGATGACATTAATAAATTATAATTATCAATCTTGTACTTATGTGATGGCTCACAACATTATCTATTGTTTTTATGAGGTTACTAATATAAAATTTAAACATTATCTATTGTTTTTATGAGGTTACTAATATAAAATTTACTTTTTTTCTGATTTAACTATATAGTATTTTAGTTCTTTTTATTTTCTATCACATAATCATAAATATTCATAATGTGTTAAAATATATATTTCTTTGTTATTAAGAATATGATTGAAATTTCAATAATATATATTTTTGGATTTGCATGATATATATTTAAACATGAGAATTATGTTATAATTTGACTCCTACTGGTTTTAGGATCCACGTTAAATAGTAT